TGTAAGGAAGGAAAAAAGTCACTGGTTTAGAAACTAACTATCACGTATAATCCATCGGAAAAGTAGCGAGGCTGTATTAAAAATGAAAAAAAAAAATGATTTTAGAGACTCGCAGTCGGTTCAATGGAGGAGAATGTAATATTTGTACAAAAAGAATGACGTGAATTTTTCTGCTCAGTAGAGAGAGAGATAGCACGCAACTACCTCAAGCTCGGACAAATAACAGTCGAGGGGGTTGTGGGGGGTGGAGGCATTAGAGGAAGTAAAGATCAATGGTTGGTGGGATCAATTGTAACGATAGGCAAACTACACTTGCCATTTATCATGGGGTTGATCTGATGGAAAACGACAAAATAATTTCCTTCCTGATGTCTGTTGAAACATTGACGGTTCTAATGGAGCGGATTTGGGCACAGAAATGATGAACGAGAAAACAGAAAATGGGGAATTTCTTTTTTTTTTTCTTTCATCTTCGTTTTCCAATTTTTTGGCGATATCCAGAATGAACGTGGTACAGCACACACACCGCAAGACCGATAACTTAGGCAGTGAAAGCGTAATTCACCATAAACGATAAAAAAAAACCTTGCGATCATCAAGTCTTCTCTTTAGCAGTTTGAGTTATACAGAGGTTCGGAGCATTACTTTGATTAGAAAAGGAGTGAAGGAAATGTGGATATGAATAACAGTGGTCACTGTGTGTGAACCTTTCATATGGGAAAGGCACAAGAAGAATAAATCACATACTCTATTTACTGTGTGGTTTGTTCTATTGCTTTGATCCTAGCGGATAAAATTATAGCTACTGGTCTGAATAAAAGGAATTAGAGGGTTATTTTCTGTTCTGAAGATGGGGAACGATTGGTGAAATTTTTGTTTAGATAAGAGTTACACAATTTCACTAAAAATAAAATTGGAATCTGGTGGATTATAACTTGTTTTGTTTCAGTCTTAATATTTGCATCTTCCACTAGCCTTAAACAAGCTTACTTACTGAATTATTTACTCTCATTAGAATTTAAATACATCCATAATAATCCATGTTTCCATCCAAAAACCAAACAGCCAATGTCAACATATTTAGTTACATGCATTTATTCATAAGCAAACATCTATGTCATGCATATTGATAAATATACGGGAATATAAAGTCGTAATTTAATCTAACTGTATACTTCCGTGTGTTTATCTAGTTCATCACATGCATATCAATAGACATACAGGAACATATAGCCTTATTTCAATCCAACTATGCATTTCTTTACGTTCTGTTCATCATATAGATGTCAACAGATATACAGGAAGATTTGCAGTTGAAGAAACTATTTGATATATTATAGAAGTTGAAACATGATTTGCAGTTGAAGAAACTATTCACTTGATATATTGTAGAAGTTGAAAATGATTTGCAGTTGAAGAAACTATTCACTTGCAGTTGAAGAAACTATTCACTTGATATATTAAAATCTTTTTCAACCTCTATAATATATCAAGTGAATAGTTTCTTCAACTGCAAATCTTTTTCAACCTCTATAATATATCAAGTGAATAGTTTCTTCAACTGCAAATCTTTTTCAACCTCTATAATATATCAAGTGAATAGTTTCTTCAACTGCAAATCTTTTT